TAATCATGATTATGATGAGAAAATCATTTAAATCAGTAAATTAATTCATTCCCAACGGTAACAATCAAGTATGGACGAGTTAAAGTTTTCACGTTTTTCACAATTTACATGAAAATTGAAACTGTCTCAATCTTGATTAGTTAATTGTTGGATTATCATCTTGAAACTTTGACACTTCTAACATACTCATACAACAGTTAACTAATCATACAATTAGATGGTCATCATCTTTCAACAATTAACTTGGGGTAAATTACTTCTCACAACTATTAACTTATTCATAAATTGTCAATATAATTCAGTTGTAAACGTGATCATTTAAACAACAATGATTAAAGGATCTCACTGATTAACATGATTTCTTATGATATCATTCATCATTTAATTGATTACTCAATTGCTTCATTTGTTAATATAATCTAATGGTTGATATTTAAATTGTTGTTACAGGAAATTGTTGATCAGAGGGACTTCTGATTATGATTAGTTGATTGTCATGTATTATAATAATAAATTTAAATCACGACATGAAATAAATGAAAAACTGAGCATAATCTTAATCATTAATTTTTATGATTCTGCTCAGATTAAATTGTTACTATAATTAAATTTTCTTAGATGATCAATGAAAGTTAAAACCTTGATTAATATAATAATAAATTAATCTAATTAAGTTAATAACTAACTGTGAGTTAATTTAACTATTGAGCTTTTAATTTAATAGTTACAATCGTTGAAATGATCATCAACGTTTTTTTTTGCATTTTCTTATAATCGTTATCATGATTAATAAATTGTTATCATTACATTAGATTTGATTGTTGCGAAAAACTTTCATTTAATGAATAGGAAAACTTAGTTCCATTCAAATTCATGATAATTATGATGAAATTATCTTTAATTGTAATCATTATATTACAAACAACTAACCTTAAATTAACTTTGCTCATCTAATATTATTAATACATTGTTACAATTTGATTACAGGCTGATAACTAACTACTGAAAAATATATTTACAATCAAGCTAATCATGAGTTGCCAACAATCAAAGTCATCAAATTATTCATTATATCGGTTGATCAAAATAAAGTTGCGCCTAAAAGTCCAATAGTGATCAAGAAAATAATATTAATCATCTTAATTTCTGAGAGATGCTCAAATCAAATTAGACGGTAAAAATATCGTATCGACAATTACAGTTGGATATTAATATTTCTCGGATGAAACTAATATTGAAATAGTGTCATGAACTTTATCGACCCTCGTCAGAGACCTAGAAATAAGGATTTACAGGGCAAAGATCGGCTCCAGTAACAGTTGTACATACAGCCAAAGACTTTGAGTTTCCAACCACTTTTTAAATCATCCACGAAGTCAATTATAAGCAAATAAAGACAACTTTTGATATCTAATCAGTTGACCATTTTAAGACTAAATCACTTAAATTAGTGGACAGACTTATCATCATATCTTTGGGTTAACTGTATCTCTCATTGATTAGATTCAACTGCGTGAATGATTTAAAAAGTGGTTGCAAACTCAAAGTCTTTGGCTGTGTAAGTTTGGGTATCAATACTCACTACATTTGGGCACCAGGAATACGAGCCCGAACATCAGCTCAATATATGTTTTAATGTCAACATCTTGTCGTAATTTATTTCCTGATTGAGATTCAAAATGTAACAGTTTGTATGTCTGATTTAAATCCACCTTGAGAATTGTAATTTACATAATTAATCCTTTTCTTTTTTTCATCGAGGTGCCAATTAAATTACAATCAATATGATTCTACTGAGAAAAAGTTTAATTGTTGAAATTTCAATAGCCGGAAGTTTGGACAATCAATTTTAATTGTATGAAATATTAACTTGAAACTGTTGATTGTTGTTTTACCATCATCATTATATCATCTTATTGAAATGGTTATTATCACAATTAATACATTCTGTTTGAGCTAATCAAATATCACTTCATCTCTTTGTTCAGTGATGATTAATTAATTGTAACAAATTGAGAGGAAATTTTCTCATTCTTACACTGATTGTCATGATAAACTTAATTATCATTCCTAAGTTTCAATTGTTATGTTTTTCATTAATCTTGTGTTAACTCAATAATAATGAGAGTTAATGAAACATCATTTAAATAAATCAATGAACTAATCAACAATTAGGTAGCCACTTTGTGTGTGTATTTTATTTCGTGTTTCCGTTTGAGGTAATAACAATTCGAAGCTTAGAGTTCCTTAACGAATGGTTCTGGTGTTGCTAGAGCCAAAGTCATCGAAATTGTCGCTAATGAAGAAACAAAATTTGGCGTAATAACGAAAAGCTTACAGAAAGTGAAACCAACATCATGGCGATTAATACGATCCAAGAAAAAATAAATCTGTAATCGAAGGTTAATGTTAGATTACTTGATAGAACCTGATTATTTTCGATACAAAAATTCAAAAGAAAATATAAAATTCGTACTTCATTAGTGATAGACTGTGATGTTATTCCTAACGATAAGGGATAAACGCTGTCATAACATTTCATCGATAACCAAGAAACAGAAACGAGGTTGAATGTTATCAGAGAGATATAAACCAATTCACCAATGAGCCATAGACAACTGAACATTATCGAAGTCGATTGATCATGAAAAAGTCCAACGAAATTGAAATAACAGGTAATGATTGCATGAAAATAGAAAATGGTAATGAATAGTTGAAGGTAACTGTCGATCCGTTTTATTATTGAGATTGTTTCGATATATGATGATCGGGTTTCTTGGAGCTTTGATAAAAGTATTGGACTTTTATTATCAATCCAACTGATACTCTCAATTATGCCAATGAAACAAGCCTGGACATTGATACAAGTTTCGACTATGAAATGCACAACAATGAGCCAAGAAAATGCCATAAGCAAATGAACGATATATTTGAAAATGACCTTATTCAGGTTAGGATTTTTTTTCGTAATTCCATGAATTATATCCATTGGTCCATCGATACGAGAAGCAAAACCAACCTCATAAATCGTAGCCAGAATATTGATAAAAAGTAAATATCTTCGTCTTCTGTTAATATACCGATTAACGATTATTCTGTTAGAGATTGTGATCTTTTCCACATCGTGAACGAACTTCTGATACTTTGATCTTTGGTACAAGAGACTCAGTAAGTTAATACCAACGAATATGTCGTACAGTATATGCCAATTTCGATTGAGAAATGCAAATAAAAGATCAGATTTACCAGAATTTGCATGGATAATAAAGACCAACGAGCTTTTCAATATAAAGGTGAACGCAACAAGTAAACTACACAATAAATACGGTAAACGATTTGACTGTAATGCAATCGCAATTAGCCCTAAGGGTTTAGTTAATTTCTCTTTTGTTTGTTGTTGTTCCATGAATTGGCACTGAATCTAAATCAGATCGTTTTAGAACCAAAATAATATACTAAGAAAAATTGTTTCTTTTTTCCGTATTGACTCATTAATAAACTTTTTCCATCGAAAACAAGTGATTTTTTGTTTTTTTCTTCCGGAGATGATGTAAATCTTTACAATACTTGAGTAGATCCATACTGAGAGTGTCTACTTCATATCGATTTTAATTGAAAATTAATTATTCGAAAATTTTTCCATTAGTTGTATTGAACATCTCAAAAAAGCCCAGACAATCAATTTTAATTGTACCAGCTTGAGACTGTTAATTGTTGTTACCATTATCATCACATTGAAATGATACCTAATTGTACTAATCAAATATCGTTTCATGTCTTTGTCCAATGATCAATTAATTATAAAAGAGGAACCATTTAACTTAGATTGTAATGATTAGCCTAATTATGCAATTGTTGTATTATATTGAAGTTGATTGTAATGGATTTCTGATGAAAAAAATTATATCCAAGTTGATGGATCTTATTTAATCATTAGTTTGAATTAAATATGAGCAAAAAAGTTTTCACTATTAGTTAATGATAATAATTAGTTAATTAAAATACGATCGATTTACAATCGAGCTTCAACTATTTAACTTTCATCACTTTTACTTTCATTGGTAATTTAGAATAGTTGATATTACTAAAATTAATATTCCACTCGAAGATCAAAGATTCTGAACAAGAGATTTTGGTAATAACAAAAATCGCCATTCTCATTTCGTTAGTTGCTGATTGCGATTTATTTCTAAGGATAAAAGAGAAACGCTATCGTAACACTTCATCGATAGTCAATTAATAGAAGTGACATTGAAGCTATTAGAAAAGCTAGATTAGCTCAAGTCTTCAATGAACGATAGGAACCGAACATTATCGAAGTCAATTCATCATGAAAAATTCCAACGAAATCGAGATAACAAGCGATGATTACATGAAAATAGAAAATGTTAAGTAATTTTGAGTATTGAAATCTTTAATTAGAGGGTCGATTTATGTTACTGGCGAGAAGTCATCGATTTCTTGTGCAGCGATAATTAAAGAAACTCTATTAGGCACAAATACTAACCTCGTCCGCATTGTCATCTCGTTTGATCACAATTAAAATTACTTGACTGATTAGCTCAAGATTAAGACCATAACTTTCTTAATTTTTTGCTATTATTTGTTAAAAAATTGGAATACTACCAATTCTTATTATCATTGAGTTTCGATGCAAAGTTCAGAGTTCCTTAACCAATGCTTCTGGCGTCAGTTGAAATCCCATGGACAGTAATTTCCATTTTTTAAGCTATTTATTGTAATTCGTGTTCTCCTTTGAAAATAAGTCTCAACTATAAAATAATACCAATAAATTAACCTTTAAATGTTTTGTTTTTTTGTCTTAAATTAGATTATTTAATTTTAAATTTGTTTAGCTTATTGAAACAGATGGAAATCTTGAAGTTTTAGTACGTAATTAATCAATAAACAAACCATCAACGTTAATTTAGGGATATAGTTATGACTATTTACACACGTGAAAACAATGTAGTTGTTGCTAAGTGATTGGTGTTAATCACTCGATTAGATCAGTTTAAAAAATTCTATTAAATTTCATGTTCAAGTAACTTTATCCTTAGCCTCATCATGAATAATTTTCTAACCATCGTTGTTCTCGTTCTCTTAATAGAAATCGCTTCAATGTTCGGTTCTGATGGAAATCAAGTTCCTGATGCTGCTACTGCTGGAATACCAACAGGTAAGGTTTCAAACCTCGGTGATTCGTCCGGACAGAGAGGTTTCTTTTCGTATAAATCTTGACCTTATTAACTATTAGGTAAACAATTAAGCAATGCCCAGAATTCTTTCGAGATTACATTCAACTTGATTGTTAGAAAACTTTAGCTTTTTAATTAAAAATTTCTTATAATTAGAGGGGTTAGATTATAAGATGTGATGATAATGATATATAAATGAGCTCTTTATTATTATTATAGATTAGTTTAATTACAAGTATCCTGAGTGATAGAATTTCTGTTTTTCGGTCTTTTTTATTCGGAGTTCATTTATTCGATTAATATCAAACTTTCTAAGAGTAAAATTAATACAAAATATTCATTTGATATCAGAGCAGCTATTGGACAAATTTGAACAATTAAGATGATCAAGTTCAAATTGTATTCAAATTTAATCAAAAAGTGATTTATTATTGATTTCCATAAAGAGCCGATTTTCATGAAGTTCTTGATTTAGAATCAATTTTCATGTGTAAGTCTCCATAGATAACGTCTTTTCAATGGTAAATCATTGTCAGCTTATTATCTAACCTCTCTAATAATACTAAATTCATTAATTAGAAAACTAAAGTTTTAATTCTTAAGAATTTTTCTCCATTGACTTAATGTTAAATTTTCAAAACTTAAAAATTTTTCCAAAAAATGTCCAAATTTCGATTTTAAATTTTATGGGTTTTATTGTTATTGTTATCTGAATTTATGATGCTCTTTCTGGTGATGTAGGTCATAACTTGAATGAAAATCCACTGATCCCTATTAATGGTCAAGAAAGTGGAGGTCAACCCAATAATGGAGATCAACCTGGTAATTTAGGTCCAATCTGGAATGGAAGTCAACCCAATAGTGGAAGTCAACCCGTTAATTTAGGTCCATTATTGAATGGAAGTCAACCCAATAGTGGAAGTCAACCCGTTAATTTAGGTCCATTATTGAATGGAAGTCAACCCAATAGTGGAAGTCAACCCGGTGATGGAAGTCTGCTCAATTCTTGAGGTCTAGGTGTTTCCTTGTCTGCCTCCGATTAGGAGATTCGGCTTGAGTTGATCCCGATTTAAGATTTAAAAAATCAGCCTAAAATCTAGGATATTAATATCGACAATTATAGTTTATTTCATGTAACCTCAAAACCTCAACATATGATTAATCTTTGTTTTAGTTTTAAATGAAATTGAAATTAGCCTCAGTTTTCATTGAAATACAAGTTTATTTTTGGGATTATGTTTGATAAAGGAATAAGAAATAGAAAAAGAGAAGAAGACGCAGAAAATCACTTGAAATATGAAAATGAAGGGCTCAATTGATTAGAAATGATAATTACAAGTGATTCGGCACTTAAAATGATCGCTAAACTTATGCAATATTAGTTTTGTACACACAGTAGTTGGGCACAAATTAAATTGCTGATCGATTTTTTTAAACCAGCGATGTTGTGCCAATTAAGTTGCTTTAATTGACAATAGAGCTTATAAAAAGGACATATTTGTTAAAATATAATCAAAAAATTTCCATATTATTAATCGTTTTAGATAATCGGTTAATTATCAAAATCAGTGGGTACAAATTATTTTGTTGATTTGAAATATACGATAAAAATTCAAGCAATTTGATGATTTTTTTGAATGGATACAATCAATTTAAGATCATTTTGATCAAAGTCGGACAAGTAAAAAAATTCTACCCGGTTGAATTTAACATAGTGCTCTATGGGCAATCAATCAATTCATCGATAGTCAATTAATAGAAGTGACATTGAAGCTATTAGAAAAATGTAGCTCAAGTCTTCAATGAACGATAGGAACCGAACATTATCAAAGTCAATTCATCATGAAAAATTCCAACGAAATCGAGATAACAAGCGATGATTACATGAAAATAGAAAATGTTAAGTAATTGTGAGTATTGAAATCTTTAATTAGAGGGTCGATTTATGTTATTGGCGAGAAGTCATCGACTTCTTGTGCAGCGATAATTAAAGAAACTCTATTAGGCACAAACACTAATCAATTGTTGAAATATTTAATTGAACACAAAGGTTAAGTTTAGTATAAAGGTCATGAAGATGAAACAAAATGATTTAATTGTGAGGGAGAATTGTCAATTGATTGATCATCTAATTGCAATTGATTTGTCTTTGAAATAAATGAGTTTATTTAAAGGGAAGTATTTTAATCTAGATTTGAGTAATTGGTTGACAGATGAGTGAGGAAAGCAGTTGATCACTACTGACCCTTACAAGAGTAAATTGTCACGACAATCAATTTTAATTGTCTTAGTGTTGACTTCAGACTAGTTTATTGTTGCTACCTCGTCAGCATTGTCATCTCGTTTGATCACAATTAAAATTACTGGACTGATTAGCTCAAGATAGAGACCATAACTTTCTTAATTTTTGCTATTATTTGTTAAAAAATTGGAATACTAATAATTCTTATTATCATTGAGTTTTGATGCAAAGTTCAGAGTTCCTTAACCAATGCTTCTGGTGTCGCTAGAGCCAAAGTCATTGAAATTGTCGCTAATGAAGAAACAAAATTTGGCGTAATAACGAAAATCTTACAGAAAGTGAAACCAACGTCATGTCGATTAATACGATCCAAGAAGAAATTAATCTGTAATCGAAGGTAAATGTTAGATTAATCGATAGCTCGTAATTAAATACAAAAGATAAATTTTTTTACTTCATTAGTGATAGACTGTGGTGTTATTCCTAACGACAAGAGATAGACATTATCATAACACTTCATCGATAACCAGGAAACAGAAACGAGGTCGAATGTTACCATGAAGATATAAGCAAAGTCGCCAATGAACCAAAGACAACTGTACAACATAGATGTCGATTTATCATGAAAAAGTCCAACGAAATTGAAATAAAAAGTTATGACTGAATGGAAATAGAACATGATAACGAATAGCTGAAGGTAACTGTCGATTCGTTTTATTAATGAGATTGTTTCAATATATGATGATCGGGTTTCTTGAAGATTTGACGGAAATACTGATCGCTTGTTATTTATCCAATTAAGATTCTCAATTATTCCAATAAAACAAGCCTGGACATTAATACAAGTTTCGATTATGAAATGTACAACAATGAGCCAAGAAAAGCCATAAGCAAATGAACGATATATTTGAAAATGACCTTATTCAATTCAGGATGCTTGTTAACAATTCCTTTAATAATATCCATTGGTCCATCGATACGAGAAGCAAAACCAACCTCATAAATTGCCATGAGAATATTGATGAAAAGTAAATATCTTCGTCTTCTGTTAATATACCGATTAACGATTATTCTGTTAGAGATTGTGATCTTTTCCACATCGTGAACGAACTTCTGATACTTTGATCTTTGGTACAAGAGACTCAGTAAGTTAATACCAACGAATATGTCGTACAGTATATGCCAATTTCGATTGAGAAATGCAAATAAAAGATCAGATTTACCAGAATTTGCATGGATAATAAAGACCAACGAGCTTTTCAATATAAAGGTTAACGCAACAAGTAAACTACACAATAAATACGGTAAACGATTTGACTGTAATGCAATCGCAATTAGCCCTAAGGGTTTAGTTAATTTCTCTTTTGTTTGTTGTTGTTCCATGAATCGGCACTGAATCTAAATCAGATCGTTTTAGAACCAAAATAATACACTAAGAAAAATTGTTTCTTTTTTCCGTATTGACATAATTAATAAACATTTTCCATCAAAAACAAGTGATTTTTTGTTTTTTTCTCGCGGAGATGATGTTAATTTTACAATACTTGAGTAGATTTATACTGAGAATGTCTACTGGAAATTTTTTTATATTTTATTATTAATGTAGTTTATAATTTAGAATTGTTAATATTATTGAAATCAATGTGTCAACCTTTCAAACTACTTAAACTACTACTTTCAATTCAAACTCGAGCCAAACTCAGAGATATTGTCGCTATTGAGAAAACCAACCTGTGTATACTGGCTTTTGTTTCTCTGTAATCTCAAAGTGGATTTTGGTCATTGTTTTTACTCGCATTCAATCATCACCGCCATCATCTTCAGCAACGTAATTCGTGAAATAGACCGAAACTTACAATTTGTATTTCTAAGTGTTGGTTAGGGGAATCTTTTGGTGTTTTTTTCTATCATTTGCTCTTCAATCTCACTGTTGCTTTCGGCCATTGTTACAAAACTATTGTTCTCGGTAGAAATGGTGCTATCTCGACCCTCGTCGATGGTTAATTGCAACACTTTGGGTGAAAAAGACTCAAGCTAGACCCTTTCCGATGGTTAATTGCAACACTTTGAGACTCAAGCTCGACCCTCGTCGATAGTGAGTTGAAACACTTTTGGTGAAAAAGACTCAATCTCGACCCTTTCCGTTGGTTAATTGAAACACTTTGAGACTCAAGCTCGACCCTCGTCGATGGTTGAGATTGAACCTTTTCATATCCAGTTTGAATTCAGCGCTCAAGGTATTTAGTAGCTGTGCATAGATCGAATCTTAGTAGAGTCATGAGAGTTCTGATTGTTTTTGTTTACATAGATTAGACAGTTCAAGTACAGTAAGTCATATACTTATTTTGTATTTTTATTCAAGTGTTGAAACAGCTGTCGTATTCATCATGGTGTCCATTGAAGCGTTTTCAAAATTGAAAAGGAAGAAAATGATGGCAGCTACAACTTCAGCCTTACGGATTTCAAACTCTCCACCTTCGCCTTCATCATCACCTAAACGGGTCAGAAAGAGACCAATTTCGGAATCTTCAAACTCTCCATCGTCATCGCCTTCATCATCACCTAAACGGGTCAGAAAGAGACCAATTTCGGAACCTCCTAAATTTCCTTCACCTAAGAAGCTCACCGAAGTACTCTCAAGCACATGTGAGATCTGTCGTGATAATCCGGTACGCAAGGTTTGTAATTTCATTTCACAAATCTTTACCATTAAATTAATTGAAATCGTCGATGTTACCATTCATCTCAATATCAGTCAAAAAAGTTAAATTTTATTTCTTTTTCCCTAGGCTTTGAGAAAACAAAAAATTAAAGATCAAGAACTCGCTGCTGGTGTAGCTGGATCGCTCTCTCATGTAGAAAAAGTGGGAAAAAAGCTCCTGCCGCTGATGGAGAGATATGGGGTACCATTTTGCGATTGTTTTTTCGATCTTTTATTATTTCAAAAAACGCGCTTTAACTCTTGATCGAGCGGTTAATATTAATATGGTGTAATCAGTTGATTACTGCAATCATGGCTACTTTTTTTGTTGTATCATTCAATATTTATCAGCAACAGTTAGTTTGGAAAACTATTGAAAAGTTGAGACAAAAATGTGAAAAATATAATGTTGTGGCTTTTTTTCAGGAAGTACCCGATGGAATAAATAATCTTTTAAAAAACATCCTGGAGAAATCTATAATCGTATTTCTGGGGCGGAAAGAGATCTTCGTTATCCTCGACATTCCTTTTATTATGAGCCATCTCTCTTAAATCTTTTAACTTGTTTTTCGAAGAAAATTGGTTCATCCAGTTTCGAAGTTCAGCAACAAACGTGGGATATCCATGTGACTATTCACGTAATCCAAACGCCGAAGGGTGATGTAAGGGTCGCGGCTTTCAACCTTCACTTATGTGAAAATAGCAAACCTGCTAGAGTAGCTTACTGGGCCAATGTGTTCGCATCAGTGGAAAGAGTGAAATCGGGTGGATGTGACGCCGATGACACACACAGGGTCGACGTTAAAGTCGACGCCATTATTCTTGGCGGGGATTTAAATACTGACAACATTTATCGTGGCGATGGGATTGAGAATTTTGCAAGCAGATTGGCTTTATTTGTTCTAAAAATGCTGCTGTTTAAAACCATTAAAATGCCCCGCAACATGCATGGTTGGTTCACAGAAGCCGCGATTTTACGACACAATATGGGTGTTGCACAATTTTAATAGTACAAACGAAAAGCTTGCAAAATGAACCATTATCATGATGGTGGAAATTGTCAAGAAAAAAATAGCTCCTAAACTCGGCAGAGAAAAAGGTTGCTGATAATTACGATTATACCGAGAATCGTTATTCTTACTTTTTTGGTCACTGTTTAGGATTTTACTTCTAA